CCTGCTAAAGGCTGTAACAACACAATATTCTTACCCAAATGCAGAGAAGAATGCTATTTATGCAGAGAAGGTTTTCTCAAGGCAAAAACCATATGTCAGAAAACCAGTAACAAATGAAAACTTTGTTTCCTGTGCCTGTGCAAGAATACTATTCCTGCAATGCTGCACGAAATAGTAACTTGATTTTTAAAGCACTTCAATAGGAAATGTGTTTAATTTGGTGTGTTGGTAGGTATTTCTGAGCAGTACAGTACTATGCGGCTACAAAACTGCCATCCTACTTCCCACAGAACTGACAGGTTTTCCAAGTAACACATTACCTGTTCTCCAGCCTTTGGATCAACAATTCCTTCCAGATTGGTAGCTAGTGCATTTTCACTATTTAAAGTGACAGTAACTGAATCCAAATGTGCTGGACTCATCATTTCCCCTCTTATTCCACAGTCACTGTCCATAAATATACTTCCATTAGGCTTATTTAAAGGTATTTTTTGAGGTGAAGACTCCAAATGTCCATGGCCTGGGTTAAGTTTATAATGTCTTGTTAATCCTCCTTTTCCTATATAGGATTTTTCACAAGTCTGACATTTAAATGTTTTGGGTTTCAGATTATAATTTGAAGAACCAAATAACGCATCTTTTCCCTTCACCTTTCCTTCTTCATCATCTTCTATACTCAGCTCAGAGTAGTCATCAGAATCAGACTGATGACCATCAGCCAAATCCTCCATTTTAATGAATTTATAATCTTTAGCCTTGTATTTGGGGGGGCGTGAAATCCGTCCGGAACGTGTTTTCACTTTCAAGGATTTTTTTAACTTGTCATCTTTTTGGTTTTTTTCAAGGCATGGTACCAGAGTGTTTGCTGAACTGCCTGACACCAGGTTAACATTTGGAAACCTTGCAGCCGATCCTGTGGCACGTGCAGCTTTCTGTCCATTTAGCATCCTAGATGTGGGAATCTTGTTGACAGACGCTGGTCCATGTGATGGTAAAGGTCTCTGCATAAGCAAATGAACTGGAGACTTGGAAGAGCTATGCAGGAATAGCTGCTGCTGCTCAGTTCCTGTAACAGGCTGTATCCTAATTATCTGGGGATTAATAATACCAAGTCCTGGCATGCTAGAGTTTCTACCAACCGACTGACTCAGTGTTATAGTTTTGGGCTGGATTGGTGCCAACGATGGCATTGGCCTTTCAGATTCCTTCATCTGTCCTGGTTGAACTTGGACACAAATGGCTTCCAGCTGCTTTTGTGGAAATAAATAAGAGTTGAGATTACACAAATACAGCATTTATAAATAAGGACAATACTATCAAGGTGATACACACCTTACATGTCCTTAAAGCAAAAGGTACGAAGAAAGCAATGCATATCATTAGTTTCCCATTTTAATGCATCAAAGCACAGATTTAACATCAAAGCACAGATTCCGTTCCTTCAAGCTACAGGCTTTCCAGCCCATTTACTGCTGTGACTGCTGTTCAACGAAAGCATATGAAGTTTGCTCTTAGGCCATGTCACAGTGTTGTTTCCCGCTGACAGGCCTGTTCTGTAACAGCAGAATCGGCACCATCACCTAGGCAGCTTCATAACCTTCAGCAAACCAAACATAGGATGCTACATGACACAGGCCTAATACCAGGTCCAGGACATACTGTAAGTGCTCAGTTCAAGAAAACTTTGTGATGATGATTAAGAGGGAGTATGTGCTACTGATCATCTCCCTCATAGTCTTTCCTCCTCATTCAAATTTCTGCCTCAGTTTGAGCCAATTGCTTGACAACCCCTGCACCCCAAAACGTGGGCTGAAAGCCCAAGTACCGACACCTTCATTTAGAGGAGGATGCATTCTCTACGTGTGCATCACCACTTAATCACTGTGAAACAGCTCTTCTAACCTGTTTTAGCTGCACGTGTAGTCAGATCGAAACACTGACACAGCAGCAAGTATCTACATTCAAATGCAGATTTTTCTAAACCACATTGAAAGTTGTGTCTTCCAGCTGCGAGCCTCCAGTATACACCCGAGGGCAGGTGTGACCGAGGAGGACGGAAAAAAAACCCTAATTAAAACCACACTAACCTCCCCACACCCCGAGGCCTGCCCTCGGCAGTGGATTTCATCACCTCCCGGGCGCCGCAGGCTCCCTCCCTTCCCAGCCCCGGTTACCTTCTGCGGGAGGAGACGGGCGGCGGCCACGGAACTGCCCTGCTGCAGGGCGACCTGCTGGGCCACGCTCTGCAGGTGCTGGGCGGCGTTGTGCATGATGCTAGCCAGCGGCGGCCCCGGGCAGGGCTCCAGTGGGGCAGCTGTCGGCGGCTTCTGCTGCTCCTGGGCCTTGCTCA